CTCTCACGCACCATATCTTATAGTGGATACCCTCAAACATAGGAGGTCTCATGGAAGCAGCAAAACCACTTGGGGTAAATTGCCTATTATAAGGTTTTTGGATTGTTGGAAATATGAGCAATTTACCGAGTGATTTTATTAACAGAAATACTAGATAAAGCATGACTAGTGTGGCAGTGATAAAACAAGCCATGCGATTTGACAAAGAGAAGGTAAACAACATCTTCATATATGAATCGTAATTAAACATATCTTGAGCAGACAGTATAGCAAGTTGCATATATGAAATAGAGTCTAACATATCTAGGGCAAATACTAGAACAAGGAACTGTAGCAGAACCTCTAATAGAAAGGGGACGAACACGTGCGGGGCAGCAGCAGCAGAAGCGTTGGACTTGGGGCGGTGTCCTCGCCAGCCATGTCGTCGAGGAGGTTGTGGACGTCGGGAAAGAAGTCATCGTCGGGGAAGTAGTCGTCGGAGTCCGGGGCGTCCGTGACGAAGAAGTCAGTAGTCACGCGAAGCGCTCCCCAAAAATCTTATCACCCTTCTCACGTACAGGACTCAAAAGGTGCGGTTTCGGAGGCCTACTATCCCGACTCGTGGTGCACGCCACAAGCCGGGATGAGGAAGACAGCAGCAGCGCAGAGATTGGAACCGGTGGCGAGAGGAAGGAGAAGTTCTGGTGCGTCTCTCTGGGAGGAGCGACCTCCCTTTTGTAGGCGCAAGAGAAGGAGGCGAGAGGCTACGCCGGGAGCTAAAGGGAACGCGGGAGACAAAACGAACAGGCAGCAGCCGAAGAGGCGCGTCGTTCGAATTCAGTGTCCAGAGACAGAAAAATGTTTCAGCTTCCAAGTGACCTTTCGTATACCCGTAGTGCATGGCAAAAATTTAGACATCGGCTCGGCTCATTCCCGCAACCCATGGCGCGTCGTGACGAGGCGTGGCGAGGCGGGTGGCGGAGGAGGAGCACCTTTGGATGTCCCTCTTGTTCTCATGCTCATACAAGTGGGGAAAGAACCTCCCTTATAAGGAGGTCCAACTCCCACTCAACTAGCAATGTGGGACTAAACTTTAGTAGTATCCCTTGCCTTGCACAAATGGACTAAGTGGGCCTCTAGGATTTATTTAGGAATTTCTGAAATAGTTATTGGGCTGTCCCAAAATAGACTAAATTCCAGCACATGGTACCCTCCCATGACGAGTTACACTTGCCAACAGACATATAAAAGTTTCACCCATTTGCCCTTCATGCTCAAATGGACCGGAGGATACAAAACATGTCTTGTTTCGGTGTCAGAAGGCGAAAGAAGTTTGGAAAAAATTAAGCCTACAAGAGGTGATCCATAATGCCTGTGTTGTTGATCACGCGGGAGAGGCGGTGTTAGAATTCTTACTCCTTATGAAAGATCAAGAATTAAACATTAAGGGCATCCAGAACGCACGTGAGTTAATATCTATTACAGCTTGGTATCTATGGTGGGATAGACGTCAACTGGTCCCTGAAGGAAAGTTACAGGATGCAAATCAAACTTCGATGGGCTCTCGTGCTATAACGGCAAACTATTTCAATGCATACTCCCCTAAGGCAACTCGCAAAACCGGGGGGGGGGGGCGCTGAATGTTGATGCCGCTTTCGATCATGATCTTCTTCAAGGTGCAGCTGGCGCGGTCCTGAGAGATGATAAGGGAAGGTTCATTGTTGGAGGAAACTGGAGGATTGACTGGTGTGATGATGTATTAACAGCAGAAGTTCTGGCTCTTAAATTTGGTTTATTCCTAAGCACTGAATGCGGGCTGCAATCGCCTTGTTGTAAACTCAGATAACATGGAAGTGATCGACATAATGAAGAATGGAGGACACTCGGCGGGAGCGGCAACTGCAGCTTTTGATGATTGTTACTTTTTGGCTTGTGATTTTCTTATAGTTAAATTTGAACACTATAATAGGGAGGCAAATAGAGTGGCCCATGAAATAGCTAGGTTAGCAAAATTTTCAGCCACTAGGGATTGGTTTGAGGAGTCTATGAAGGATATTGTACCTCTTCTTATGAACGATGTAACAATTATTTCTAATTAATAAAGTTGAAGTTGAAGTCTCAAAAAATAATAGAGTCCTCATGACGCATCAATCGTCATAACAACCATGGATTCAACCATACAGCGTTTCTCATCAAAAATACAATCGCAATACTTGTCAAAATGGTCATAATTTATGAAGTGTCTTCCATATCTAACCTCTTTTTTCTTTATAAAAACTTCTAATCTATTTATCTTCAATAATGGTAGTACAAAAAATACTAGAAATAATAAAAAATTACATGCAAATCCATAGACCACCTAGCGACGACTACAAACACTGAAGTGAGCCGAAGACGCGTTGCTGTCATCGCCCCTCCTTCGCTGGAGCCGGGCAAACCTTGTTGTAGTAGACAATCGGGAAGTCATCATGCTAAGGCCCCATTGAATCAACGCACCAGAACAGCAACCGCCGCGGATGAAGAGTGTAGATCAGAATGATCCAACCTGAAGACACAAGAACATAGACGAACGACGAACAGATCCGAGCAAATCCATCAAAGACAGATCCGTCGGAGACACACATCCATACGCCCACCGACGATGCTAGACACATCAACGGAACGGGGACTAGACAGGGAGACCTTTATTTCATCTTCAGGGAGCCGCCGCCGTCTCGTATTCCTGAGCAAGACACAAACCCTAACAAAACTCGAAAAAGGATCTAAAAAGGGAGCCCTCCCATCGGCAAGGATCAGGATCCACTCCGCCCCCATGGCCCTAAGGCCACCAGAGACGGGGTGGACCGGCGCCGGCAGGAGGCAGGAGGCAGAGAAAACCTAGCTTTTTTTTAGGCGTTCATGCCTAATCAGCAACGTAGAGTTTTAAGAACTATTCTCTCCGCCCGAATTTATTGGTTCTAAGACCGATGACCTCTCAACCTTTATATTTGGTTCTCGGGACCAACTTTTGGAACATCCTCAATATATAACCTCTCGGGCTTCATATTAAGGTCTCAAAATCAACTTTTGGAGTGCCTCCAATGAGAACCGTATGTGCATGCGAAGGA